TGTGCCATTCGATGTGTGTTCGTTGGGTATGGATCAACTCAAAAGGGATACAAGTGTTACCATCCTCCTACTCGTAAGCTCTTTGTCACTATGGATGCCACATTTCATGAAGATTTATCCTACTTTAAAGCTGCTATGCCCCCTTCTCTTCAGGGGGAGAGAAGGAATGAAGAGAAGGAAGAAAAGGAAGAAAATATCCAAGTCTGTGACAAAACGACCGGTCGCAACCCAGAAGCGACCGGTCGCTTTCCTGAAACGACCGGTCGCACTGACCACAGCGACCGGTCGCATTGCTCTAGGGATGATGAAGATCGACTCTGTGACAAAACGACCGGTCGTAATATAGAAGCGACTGGTCGTCCAGACTCCAGGGAGGAAAATCGACTTTGTGACAAAACGACCGGTCGCACAGAACCCAGCGACCGGTCGCCAAGCACCAGTGAACTTCAAAATTTGGGCAGCGATGAAGGTATTGGAAAATTGTCGTTCTTATTTGGTGAAGATCCCGGAGGAGACAATTCAAATGGTTGCTGCGATCAACAACAAAATACAACCCCTTCTTCTCAACCATCGGACCAGTCGTCTCGTGATGAGGAAACACTTGAGGTAATTCCCGAAGCACCTAATGCTATACCATACACTCTCCCACCTAGGACCACTAGAGGAAAACCCAAGCCTCAATATTGTCCTGACCTTACTGCCAAATCTAAATATCCCATTAATAACCATGTTTCAACTCATAGATTGTCAAAGTCATATGCATCATTTGTCAATCAATTATCTACTGTATGTGTTCCAAATAAGTGGCAGGATGCTATAACAGATTCCAGATGGGCTGAAGCAATGGCAATTGAAATGGAAGCTCTGGAAAAGAATTCTACATGGGAAATAGTCCAGTTGCCACAAGGGAAGAAACCCGTTGGATGTCGGTGGATATACACCATTAAATACAAAGCTGATGGATCCATAGATCGATCCAAAGCTCGATTAGTGGCCAAAGGGTATACACAAACATATGGAATTGACTACCAAGAGACATTTGCACCTGTTGCCAAGATCAATACCGTACGTGTTCTCATGTCATTGGCTGCAAACCTTGATTGGCCACTATTGCAGTATGATGTAATGAATGCATTTCTTCACGGGGAATTGCAAGAAGAAGTGTATATGGAACCACCACCAGGGATCTCCATGGCACTTGGTCCCAACACCGTGTGCAAGCTGAGAAAATCATTATATGGGCTAAAGCAGTCACCACGAGCCTGGTTTGGAAAATTCACCGATTCCATGAAGCGTTTTGGGTACACTTAGAGCAACTCGGATCACATTTTATTCTTAAAGCGTCGTGGTGACAAACTTACGGCCCTTATCATCTATGTTGATGATATGGTGGTTACCGGTAATGACAATGAAGAAATGAAGAATTTGCAGAAGCTCCTTGCTAGTAAATTTGAGATGAAGGAATTAGGTGAGTTACAATATTTTCTTGGCATAGAAGTTGCTAGATCAACACATGGCATATTTCTATTCCAACGAAAATATGTGTTAGACTTGTTAACAGATACTGGAATGCTTGATTGTAAGCCAGCTGACACACCTATTGAGCAGAACCACAAGTTAGGGATGTATCCAGACCAAGCACCCACTGACAAAGAAAGGTATCAAAGATTGGTTGGGCGATTGATTTATCTATCACACACACGCCCCGACATAGCTTATGCTGTGAGTATGGTGAGTCAGTTTATGCATCAACCAAGTGAGGCACACATGAATGCAGTAACTCGGATCATGAGGTACTTGAAGGCTGCCCCTGCCAAGGGGTTGATATTCTCCAAACATACACATATGAACCCAGAAGGATATACAGATGCGGATTGGGCAGGATCCATCACAGATAGACGTTCTACTTCTGGATACTTTACATTTGTGGGGGGCAACTTAGTCACTTGGAGAAGTAAGAAGCAAAAAGTTGTGGCTAGATCAAGTGCTGAAGCAGAATTTAGGGGAATGGCTCAAGGAGTTTGTGAATTGCTCTGGTTACGGAAATTACTGAAGGATCTGGGAATTAAACCATTGAAAGCTACAAACTTGTACTGCGACAATAAATCAGCTATCGAGATAGCACATAACCCAGTACAACACGACCGTACCAAACATGTGGAAGTCGACCGACACTTCATCAAAGAGAAACTAGAAAGGGGTATAATCAAGTTTCCATTTGTAAACTCGGAAAACCAACTTGCTGACATCTTGACGAAGGCCGTATCAAGTAAAGTTTTCCATGACTCACTGGACAAGTTGGGCATGCGTGATATCTTTGCACCAACTTGAGGGGGAGTGTTAGTAAAGTCAAAGACAAAACATAGACATCCCTAAATGGCTTGTCTACCACCTTGTTACTTTTCCTTGTTTTCATATTCCTTGTTTTAGGGATGGAAACTCTCCATGTTTCCCTCCATGTCTTGTGCATTGTTTGTAACTAATAATCACCTTGTATACTTGTATATCTAACCCTTCACTAAGTAAGAAACTCAATTGGCAGATTTGAATTCTCTGCAAAACCTATCTTGTTCTTCTTATTATACATTCTCAACTCTCTCAATTACACTATATTTGGCAAACACTACCCAGCAGCATGAGACTTTCGGTTTGGTCACCGATTATATATAGGCGCCATTCTTGGCTCAACTCAAAGTCTTTGACGTTGACTATTGGCAGTTGGTCAGTTACCCATTTTTCCAACCATCTATATAAAATGATTATTGGCTTTCTTTTTATTTATAGTCATGAGGTGATCATTGTTTAAATTTGAAATTCACAGATAGATTAGATACTCTCTTTCGGGTTTTTTTATGGCACGATTTTAGTGAGGCGGTTGTACCCTCTGTTTTCTATTATTAGTTGATTGTTTTTTTCGAACTTCGTTTATTAGTTTATTATAATTTAGGGACCCTCTGCTTAATGAAGTTGTTTCTTGCTTGCATAAATTTAAAAAAAAATAAATAAATAAATTTAAACCCAAAACACTTGGAACAAAGTAGACATGGCCCAAACCCAAATTAGCGGAGCCCTGTTTGAGGACCTTGTTCATTTTTGTGTTGGTGTTGGTGTTTCTCTGCCCAGATTCGTGTGTTCCTAAAGGTTGTTTGGGCCTCAGGCCTCCACTTCACCGAAAAATTGATTATTTTTTCCATAACATTTCATAATGTTTTTATATAATATTGCATTAGTCTTTAGAACTATATAAGATTATTTTTATTGTTGTAGGGGACTTTTTCCTCCGGCAGCTGTAAATGGGCTGGGCTGCCGTAAAAGGTAGACTGATGAAATTGTCCCCTTTGCCTGAGTTCGAGAATTAAGCCCCAAAATGCTTCGAAAGGGCAGCAGGGCCTTAGGAAGTATTTTGATTACCTTCACCAACCAAAACAACAGCAACTTACAGATAATTTCTTCATGCTTACAGATAAACTTTTGGGCTTGGCATGAGAGGCATGTGACATGGAAGCAAAGTCAACATGAGTTTAGCACTGAGGGGAAATTTAGGCTTTCTTAGGGGGAAAAAGAAAGTGTTAAGATGAGTAAGGAGAGGTTTGTAGGAGATTTGGCTAAGAAGAGAGAAATAAAGAACAGTGCTCTTCCGGCAGCTTGACAGATACTCTGTCTGCCAGAAAATGAAGATGGAGAAGAAGGGTGAATAGTGCACGCGATTGCTAGGTTTTTGCAGGTAAGAGAGAAAGCTTGCTCCTGAGTGTGGGTTGCCTTTGTTGGGTAGGAGAGGCCCCATTTTATAGCTGTGGGAAACTATCCTTTCCCAAGAAACCCTAATGGTTTCTTTCCAATTTGGCCAAGCTTTTCCTTCCTTTCTCCTCTCCTCCTTTGACTTTCCTATCTAAGTGAAATTGCCTCTATCTATTTGCACGAAATTAGGAATTTTGGGAGCTCAAGGCCCCCCCTTTCCCACGGCAGCTTCGGTGGGAGACTCCCACTTTCAGCTATTTTTCTTCTTCTTTCATTCCTACTTCCATGGCTAGATCTGATGAGGGAAAGGAAGTGGATATACATGCTGGTTCAAAGGGTGGTTCTGGCAGCTCGCAGGCTAATACCGCTTGGTTCCTTGAATGTTTCTTGCTTGGAACTTGCTCCTCCCATGTGATGGAACCTCCAGCAGCTTTGTTCAATAAGTCTTCAGACCTCCCCCTTCGTGGTTTTTGTTCTCCCAACCAGCTGGGGTAATTGTATGGGCCAAGATGGTTCATTAAGTAAGTGGGCTTTTTGGTTGAGTCAATAGGCTATTTTTTGATTAGGCTATTTTTATTAAACGTTTGGGCTTTTGGTAAGGTTCATAGGCTATTTTGACTGGGCTATTTCTTCCTCTTGTGCTCACCCACATGTTTGGGCCTAAGAAATGGGCTTGAGTCCCGAGGCTCCCAAGCGACTCGGGACTTCCATTTCTCGGCCCATCAATGGGCCTCATGTTGATTTATTACCATCCATACCACAACCCACTCAAGCAAGCCCCGGGTATTTGAGTGGCTTGGGCCCACTTAAGCTTGTAGTGCGATTGGGTGTGAAATAATAATTTCCCGCTCGGCATGGCATGTCGCTTGGCATGGCATGTCGTTTGGCATGCTTTTAATTATGACGCTTGATAGGATAATTGGCATGGATTTGTAGAGCTAAATGCATCTATATAATTTTAATCTCAATTTCTAGCATGACAGATTTTTATTTGGCATGGCATGCAGGGGTGTGGCTTGTGCATGGCAGACTTTCGTATACTCCAAATCGGGTCTTTTTTCAATAATATATCGTTTTGGGCTAGGAATTTATTCGGGTTCAACCATGGATTTTTTGGGCCTCAACAATTGTATGATAAGTGATACATGGTAAAGCTCCTATTAAAACCAACTAGTTCTTAGTCTAGTTGTATTTCACTTTCAAATGTTAGAAGATGCTCCGTTTCCAATTAATAAAAATAAAACGAAATAAAGTTCCTATTATAAATGTGAGTCATGTGACAAGTCACAAATCACAACCGTACATACAGAGCACACATGAAGCATGATTGTGGATGCTCTTAAAACCCTCAACACACAACCTCAACTTAGGCCCCCTCCCATGCGTAAAGTTCTTGGAACTCGGGCCTCCGGTTTACACAAACGAGAAAAATTGTTTAAATTATGACCAATATATACAAGTAGTGCCATTCCAAGAGTTTTTTGTTTTGTCAAAAGACCATTCCAAGAGTCTAGCAAAGCGGTAAATTGATAATAAGGAAGGAAGCCAAAAAGAATAGCACTTTGATAATTATGGCAGCAAGAGATGTATCTTTATCGAGATTCAAGTTTAGTTATTGTCAAGTCGTTAATAGACGAATCTGATCCTTTTGGAATTGATGGATCAGCAGCATCATTGCCGGAACTTTTTCTGAAGACAAATGCAGGCTGCTTAGGAGATGGAGGAGATGCTTCACCACTCAACATGAAGACAACAGTTGACATGCTTGGTCGATCCTTTGGATCTTCTTGCACACACAATAGACCAACTTGAATGCATCTCATGACTTCATCAGGCACGTATGACACTACTGATGAATCCACAATTTCTAAGGCTCTATCTTCTCTCCACAGCTGCCAAACCTGTAGTTGTTGACAGTAACATTTTGAAAAGGGATGAATAAGAATCAAGTGCAAAGAGTAGTTTGTTAGCAAAACTTGTGTTACTTACATGTCCTATCAAGTTTAGCGATTCATCCTGCTGATAAGAACCGCTGTTTTTCTTGCCGCTTACAATCTCTAACAATATGATCCCAAAACTAAAGACATCTGATTTCATTGAATATCTCCCGAACACTGCATACTCTGGTGACATATAGCCACTGCATTATGCATATGAACAAAATCAAACAGCATTACAGCCAAAGAACAGTAAAATGAATTTGAAAGTTCAGTATATGGTGGTTTATTCCAAGAATTTGTGAATGCAAATATGATTCTTACTATGTTCCAACAACTCTATTGGTCTTATCCTGCAGTTTGTCCCCATGGAATATTCTTGCCATGCCAAAATCTGAAACTTTTGGGTTCATCTCAGCATCTAGAAGAACATTGCTGGTTTTTAGATCCCTATGGATTATCCTAAGTCTTGAGTCCTGGTGAAGATACAGAATCCCACGAGCAACCCCATTGATAATTTCAAACCGCTTTTTCCAATCCAACAAGGATCTTTTCGTGTGATCTGCATCAAGATATTTGGCTTTCGAGTAAATAAATGTTAAATAGTTTAGTAGGAAGCTTCAAGAATATTCTTCGTCATTTTAGAAATGGCATGTACAAATGAATCTTTCCTCTAGTAGACATACCAAAAAGAATGGAGTCCAAGCTTTTGTTTGGCAAGTGTTCCAGGACTAACATCCTTTCTTCTCCCTTTATACAACAGCCTAAAAGTTTCACAAGATTTCTGTGTTGAAGTCTAGCTATCAGAGCAACTTCATTTTTGAATTCTTCAATTCCTTGTCCTGAAGTTTTGGACAATCTTTTTACAGCAATCTTCTGATCATTTGCTAACAGACCCTGAAGTTATGGTTCAACACCATTATAAAGCTTTGAGAAGAAGAGTATCTTCTACTGCTCAGAAGAAATCATTCAATTATGAAATGTTGGGACTTTCAAATGGGACCTTACCTTATAAACAGTGCCAAAACCACCTTGGCCAAGTTTATTGACAGGAGAGAAGTTGTCTGTGGCTACTATTATTGCGCTCAGATGGAAAAATTGCAGCTCTGGATGTCTCCTAGTTTCCTCAAGTTCATCCGCCTCAACAAAGTCTTTGCAATCACAAAAAGAAAATTAGCGTTCCTTTTCTCCTCAATGTTCCATTTGCGTTGACAAAATGACTAGAAAATGGAACTTTTAACAACCAATTCCATACTTCCATGAGCACATTGCTGTTTTATTTAGATGAAACAGTTAAACAATTCAACACAGATAAGTACTTCTCATACCTTTTATCGTCCTCTTTCTCTTCATCCACCAGTACACAAACACAATGATTAGTACGAATGTGAGAAGCACAGCCGCTATTGCAATAGCCAGCAAACCCCTCCTTTTGAGAAAACCTTTCGATTTTCTGGTATTATCAGCTACACATAAGAGTGGGACAAAGGATTAGAACCATGAAAAAGAGAACTCATATGGACACCAAAACCAGTCTAGTAAGTTTCACAGATTCTGAAAATTTATAACTGAAATTTTCCTCGGCAAGCCAAGTAGTACCTAATTCCATTTTGTCCACCCGAACATATAGATCTTGTCCTAGCTCTGAGCGGACTAAAATGTCCAGCAACTCACCGTACCATACCAAGCAATCATTGCGACCGTCCCATTCTATGTGTATATATGCCGTGCAGGAACAATTGCGTAAGCACACCTGCTCACACTCATTGGCACTGATACTTGCTAACAATCGTGCTGCTTCCGATGTGTCTGGCTCTTTCACCCGTGCCACCTTCACAAACCCTTCCCCATTCGCACACTTTGACACCCCCATTCGCTTACTCACACACCCATCTGACCCATCTCTCACATTCCAAGCATTTTGAGATTTTGGTTCATACCCTGGTAGGCACTCACACTCAAACCTATTAATATTGTCAGGGCTACATTTGCTGTTGGCACCACAGCGTCCATATGGGTCACACCGGTATTTTGGTGCAGCCCAGAGCTCCTCCCATTGATTAGTAGCCTCACTCCATATCAGTTGTTGATTTACCCCATAATCCGTCACCACCGATCTAATTACTGAGGTGTTATCAGACAAAAAGGAATAGTACATTTCTTCATTATCCCTCACAAAAATGGGCCATTGCCCTGGATCCATTCTCCAATATTTGGTCAAACCCTTACACAAAAAATATTCAGGTGTAGCAGTCTGATTGGAATAGAGCCTCAAGCTATAGTTCCCGGTTCCGGGGTCATTATGGGACTTCCAAGATGTTAAAACCCATTCCATCCCAGTTTTCCAATTCAACCCAACTTTCATTCCTGGAAGTAGAGTATCTGTAGGATAATCAAAACTCTGCCATATAAATCTTTCACTTTTACTAATACTATCCGGGAAAAGCACTAAATTTCCTGTATCTAAAAGCTGAGCTACACAAGTGCTTGTGGTTTCGACCAACACATTTGTTGACCAAATAGAAACGTTGTCAATATTGTGAGCATAAAGAACCAATTTTCCGTACCTGTTGATTGTGAGAACACCAGAGGTATCATTGATGGGGTTGTTTCTGTTTGCAACCCAAACCACTGCCTTTTCAGACTTATTTGCATACCAAATCCCAACATAGCGAGAGCTAGAGTTGCCAGGGCTAAAGAAGCCTAATTCAAAGTTGTTTTCTTTGGACACTATAAAGTCACCATCTTTCACAAGTTGGTTCAGTGCTATGGTGTCAATGGATGAGCAAAAGGGCAAGAGGAGGAGGAAGAACGCAAGCAAAGCTTTGAGAAACATTTTTGTTTTTCTGGGAATTTGGGATTTTGCATGGACGATGAATATGGTGGTGTTTCATTGATGTTACTTTTTTGTATTGAAATGGCTGCTACTTGTTTGAAGTCCTATCGCGGACTACCCTGCAGCATGCGATGTTGGATTTGGTCAGCTGCACAACAAGTTACAGGACAATAACATTCACACACGTTTCTACATCTATATCCGATTATTCGTAGTTGACTTTTGGTATTGGTCAGTTACCGATTTATTGACTTTCTATTTATTGATAGTCATGAGGTGATCATTGCTTAAATTGAAATTCACTGATAGATACTCATTCTTTCGGGTTTTTTTTTGTATGGCAAGATTTTAGTGTGGCGGCTATTGGTAGGTACTCTCTATTTTCTATTATTAGTTGATTGATTTTTTGTCAAAATTTTTTAATTAATTTATTATAATTTTGGGACTACTTGTTGTGGTTGCTTATAATGAAGTTGTTCTTGCTTGCATAAAATATAAAAATTTAAAATTTTAAAAAAAAAAAATTGAAACCCCATACACTTGGAATGTTTCCGCAAAGTAGACATGGGCCAAATTTAGGAATGTGTTGCCCGATACTTGACCTAACCCAAACCCAAATTGGCGGTGCCCTGTTCATGTTGGTGTTGGTGTTGGTGTGGGTGAGGTTCGTGTGTGCCTAAAGGTTGCTTGGGCCTCTGGCCTCCACTTCACCAAACAATTGACTCTTTTTTCATTAAATTTCCTAATGTTTTTATACAATATTGCATTAGTCTTTAGAACTATAAGATTATTTTTATAAAAAAATTAATTAGCATCTAGATACATGGATTTTTATTGTAAAGCTCCTATTACAACCAACTAGTTTTTAATCCAGTAAATGTACTTCACTTTTAAATGTTAGAAGATGCTCCAAATTCAAATGTTCCGTTCCAATTAATGAAAATAAAACGGAAAAAAGTTCCTATTGTAGATTTGAGTCATGTGACAAGTCACAAGTCACAACCATACATGCAGAGCAGAGCACACATGAAGTATATTAATGCCCTATTTTATTATTAGACGTATACATCAAAAGGCACATCAACTCACTCTAAACCTTGACTTTCCCAGAAACTGGAATCCATTTGGAAGAAGCTTCTTTTAGTTAACAGCTACCCACAGACAACACAACACAACACATGAAGACGCGTTTGCTTGCTTTTGTCAACGTTCGCTTGTCTCCAGACACCTGCTCTGGGAGTTGAATATCCTTTGAATTAGCCACCATTTAAGCAAATGAATGAGCCCTGGCTGCTGCTATCTTCTTGTAAATATTCATATCTAAAGAATTTCTGGGTTTTCTCCCTCCTAAAGCACTTTTTTTTAAATAAATAAATAAATAAAAGATTATTTTGTTTTATTTAAATAATTCTATGACTCCATCAAGCTTAATCTGATGATATATAAAATTTAATTAATTCCAATGATATAGTCATCTGCTCCACATAGTTCATTTTTGGAACCTGGAAGTGTGAAAGGGAGAACCCTAAACCCACCCCTGACTTTGCTTCTAGACTTTGTTGTCCTCATCATATTTTATATTTAATAAGACGCACGCCCACCATGACTAAGATAATATATTATATAAATAATTATATATATTTTAGCAATGGTCTACTTAATGGGCGAGTGGTTGAAACATCTAATTGCTTTTTGGAAAATTCCAAAGTGGATTTGAGGCATTAGCCCTCATGCATGTGAGTGATGGGGCCATGCCGTTGGTGTATCAATTTCCTCAAAATTTTGGCTTTCTTGAAATGGTCAATCCTCGTGTTCTTATGGTTGTGACCAAGTCCAAATTTCGTAATGTCTACCATTTCTATAAATGCAGTCATTTTCCTGTCCTTTTCTTTTCTTAATGTGACATCTATGTCCTTTGAATAGAAAATTTGTTAGCAGAATATTGCTCTTTCGCCTCAATTACGGAACTTAAGTTACATATAAGAGCATTTACAATGGTTGTTCAATAGTTCAATGCAATAGTTTAATAAATTGAACTATTTTGACATCTATTGAATTGAATTGCAGTTTTACTTGTAATGATACAGTTTAATAGCTTTAGTTTATTGGCATGTGGGTCTCATGGTTAGCTTATTGCAATTCTATAGAGGGTTCTCACTCCATTGCAAGTGAGATTTTACTATTTTAATTCAATTTCATGTAATAATATAGCATTGATCCCGACCATTGCAAATGTTCTAATATTATAAGTTAAAACATATGTTTGTGACTTGGATACGCTATATCCCACTAACTGTTCAAAGTCCAAAGGGCGTTGCTTTCTAAATGGATTGTGTATCAAAGTTTTCTTCCATGAAGTCCTTTGTGGTGGGCCAAATTTATCTTCTTAAATAAAGTATGAAAATGAAACAAAATAATAATAACAAGATAACTTGCTCAACATTACATTAGCTAGCAATCAGTGCTTTGTCAACCTTGTTCTGCAATTGTTCTGCAATAATGCAATTTGTAAAAGGTCTTCTAAATGCCTTAGTGCTTCAGCTCCTTCTTCTGCAGCTCTGCTCTTCTTTGGACACCATCAGTTTTGATCAATCTATCAGAGATGGTGATTTCTTGGTGTCTAAGAATGAGACCTTTGTGCTTGGTTTCTTCACACCTGGCACATCTAGCAACCGCTATGTTGGAATTTGGTACAAGTTCTCAGAGGACAAGGTTTTCTGGGTAGCTAACAGAGACAACCCTCTCAATGATACCTCTGGAGTTCTCTCAATCAACACTAATGGAAATCTCATACTAGCTCATGGTAATAGCAGTCAAGGCCTTCCTCTGTGGTCAACAAATGTTTCTGTCTCATCATCTGGTAACAACAATATTGTAGCACAGCTCCTGGATTCAGGAAATTTTGTTTTGGTTCAACAAGACAACCAGAATGTTTTATGGCAAAGCTCTGATCATCCTACAAATGCTCTTCTCTCAAGTATGAAACTTGGGTTGGACAAAAAAAGCGGTATCAACCGGTTCCTCACATCTTGGAACTCGAACAATGATCCCGGAACTGGGAATTGTTCATTACGAATGGACACAAATGGCTCACCACAGTTGATCTTGTACAAGAATCAGGCTAAGTGGTGGAGGTCAGGTCAATGGAATGGGATTCAATGGGGTGGCATACCAGCTGAGAGCGGCAACAATGTGTTTACGATCAAATTTGTGAACAACCAAGATGAAATTGCTGTTCAGTGGTCTGTTCTTGACCCTTCAATTTACTCAGTGATAACAATAGATGGGACAGGATCACTCAACCAGCTATCATGGCAGGGGCAGCAGCACCAGTGGGTTACACTTTGGTCAGCACCATTGGATGCTTGTGACAGCTATGGCAAGTGTGGTCAATTTGGTGATTGCAATCCTTACACTAACAGTGGGTTCAACTGCACATGCTACCCTGGCTATGAACCCAACTCTCCACAAGATTGGGATTTGAGAGATGGGACGGGTGGGTGCAAGAGGCCTCAGGGGTCACCATCCATGTGTAGGAATGGTGAAGGGTTTGTGAAGATGGAAAATGTTAAGGTTCCAGATACTTCCACAATAAAATTGAACAGGAGTTTGAGTTTGGAAGCATGTGGGGAAGAGTGCTTGAGAAACTGCTCTTGCTTGGCTTATGCCAGTGCAGATGTGAGGAATGGAGGGAGTGGATGCATGGCATGGTTTGGAGATTTAATGGATACTAAGCAGTTCACAGAAGGGGGGCAAGATTTGTACATTCGTGCTGATGCGCTTGTGTTAGGTACTTGAGTTTTCAACTTAAGTGTTAGGGGGGCAAGCTTTTCATTTTTGCTCTCAGAATTTTCATGGAAATTGGAATTTTAGTTTCTGGTTATAGTTAAATCTAATATATCACTCATGGCATTAATGAAAAGCTTTTTCTTTTTGTTCTTTTTTTTCAGCTCAGTATACAAAGAAGTCAGGAGGAGGGTTCTCTGCCAAAGATAGGAGACTGGCTATTATATTAGGAGTGTCTATTGCTGTTACATCATTGCTTATCGTCGCTGCTTTATGTTGGTTTAGGAAAAGGAGCAGGAAAGGTATGCAAAAACTTCCCATTTATTCATCTTGTAAATTCATAAGGATCTTAGATATGTAGAATTCTGTTTGGTTGCTAATAAAGTAACAAAAAGCAAATTTTGGATAGTTAAAATTTGAAATCGTTATTCCTGAAATCGTAATGGAATTGAAACAGGGAGAGGAGGACAACCCGAATTGCTGAATGATGCCATTGTTGGTTCAAGAAGCCATGAAGATCTACTGAAGAAAAATGAGGTTGATGAACACAGAGGAAAAACGGATTTACCTTTCTTTGATCTAAGCACCATAGTTGCAGCCACAGACTACTTCTCTTCTGCTAACTTGCTTGGACATGGTGGCTTTGGCATGGTGTATAAGGTACTTTCTTTAGAACATTTTGAGTATCTCAGTACCTTATGACTCGTAAAAAATGTGAAATATGCATGTGTTATCAGTTTACTCTGCTTCAAATGTACCAACACATTAATGTAAACATTACATTGATCTGAAGTTGTGATTATAATTTTTGAATTTGTTTTATTATTTTAGGGATGTCTAGCTGATGGACAGGAAATAGCTGTCAAAAGATTATCAAGAAATTCAGGACAAGGCGTCGAAGAATTCAAGAATGAAGTAATGCTTATAGCAAAACTCCAGCATAGAAATCTTGTGAGGCTTTTGGGTTGCTGCATAGATAAAGAAGAGAGGATGCTAATCTACGAGTACATGCCAAACCGCAGCTTGGACTTGTGCATTTTTGGTATGTCATCTCTAAACCCTGCTAACTCTGAATTTATGCAATCCTAAACTTGTATCTCATACAAGCTTTTATGTACTGGTTTAGATAAAAGCAGAAGGTCATTGTTGGATTGGAGAAAGCGGTTTCAAATTATCATCGGGATTGCTCGGGGCGTCCTATATCTTCATCAAGATTCAAGACTAAAAATTATCCATAGGGATTTGAAAGCAAGCAATGTTTTACTAGATGCCTC